GATTTTTCCGGAAAAATCTAAATTTTTATTTTAATCGATTTCTAGGAAATAAATTTTAAATTAATAATTATTTTAATATAATTAATAATTTCCTTTTTTGATTTGTCTGATAAAATATATTATAAATCAATCAAATATCTCCGTTGTTTTTTTCTTTCTGAACACTATTTTTCTAAAATAGTGAAATATTTTTATTTTTTTTTTGAAACGAAATACAAGTGCAGCTCACGCTTATTTCTTTAAAACGATGGCCAACAATACACCATAGTATTTTGTTATATTATATGGCCTTAGACCTTGAACTATTATTAACTCGGTCGTCAAACTATAATAATCAATGAATAAGTGAAATAAATATAATGGACTTATTTCATTCGACTCCTGCTGTCGCTCATCGAGAAGAAATGTCTCAATTCTTTAGGTATGTAGATATTGATTTTACCAGCAGAAAAGTTTCTATCAAAATATCTTTTTTGGGGGGATTTATTGAAATACATGCTAAAGATGCAGCATCAATTAAAAATACAATATTAGAAAAATTAAATTCCGATCGGATTTCATTAACATACTGTAAGATCGCAATGTTATGATAACTCAGCTCACATATCTGTCGTTCAACAAAGAATTATGGAAAAAAATAATGAGGTATTATTTGTATTTGTAAACTGTGATAACCACTCACTAAATTTAGTAGGAGTTACTGCAGCTAAGCAGGATCCAGTCGTTGTCACATTTTTTAGAATAATTGAAAACATATATCTCTTTTTTCTCATGTTTAACATTACGATGGGAAATTTTAAAATTCTTTAAAGAAAACTGTTAAACATGAATCTGAAACAAGGTAGTGCCAGAGCACAAGCGGTTAGTGTTATTGTCGATGGGCTGGAAGACTTAATAGAACTATTATTAAAATTATTAGAGGACACAAGTGACGCTAGAAGTGAAGCTATCATTTTATTGAAAAATACTCTGTATTTTAATTTAATAACTTAAGTCCATTTCTGGCGTGGACTCTTGAGGAGAACTGACCGTGTGCAGTTCAGATTACAAGATCCTAAAATGAATTTTAAAGGAACATTACATGATCTTGAATCATTAGCGACTGAACTTGCAGAAATTCGAGACGAGATCTGTGAAGAAGTAATAGAAAAAGCTAAATCTCGTTGTGAAAAATGGGGTACTGATACAACAATCTGTGTTAGATGACGCCAAAAATGGCTGGAGAATTTGGCTGGAGATGTTGGCCTTTCCGCAGCAAGTGAAATTTCTTGCGTTGTGAAAAGTGCTCTTGATCACCTGACGCAGGAAATAAGTAAACGATTTAATACGACTATGTTATCTTAATTCCAAATTAGGATATTAACTGGACGTTGAAAATTTATTAAACAAGGATAATGTTGCTAAGGGTCTTGAAAAAAATTTTTAAAAATGTGGGTGATTTATGATAAAGATTCTAAGGGAACAAAACTCTATGTCGAAATATGTGACTGCAAGATGTTCCTCCGCAGTCGAAAAGAAATTGAAACTATAACTCCATAACCTTCATAATATGACCTTCATCCTGACCTTCATAATCGCTCATGGAGAAAATGTATTTCCAAACTTGACAGTTGCACTTAAAATGCTCCTTATTATTTCAGTATCATCTGCTAGCTGTGAACGTTCGTTCAGCAATTTAAAATTATTTTGGCATATCTACGATCAACGATGAGACAAGGTCGCCTAAGTGACCTAGAAGTTTTGAGTGTGGAAAGAAAAAAATTTGAAATGATCGACTTTGATGGTGTAATTGATAAAATTGCTTCATCAAAGGCAAGAAAAGTGTATACATAAAAATTAATTGTATTAATGCATTATAATATTATATTATTATTAATAAGTATATCTATTTATATAATACGTGTTAATGTTTTTCATTGTTTAAAAAGTGTATATTCTTTAAAACAATTATATTAAATGTGTAAAATAATATCTTTTTAATTAATTCTAGATGAGCGTATGTCTAATTTTTCTACTGACACAGAAACATTTCCAAATCCGGTCCTAGTCTTGAATTTTTAAACTACATTTTTTTGTCTCAAATTTAAAGCCTAACTTGAGCCTGTTATCCTGAAAAACTGTATACCATTTAGCCCGAAAAACTGTGTAGCATTTTGTAGAAGTAGTTTAAAGGTAATGACTATTCTTAATATATTATAGAGTATATTAAGGCTGATTATTTAAGTATTAAGAGTATCTTAAGACAGATTTTTATTATTATATGTATTTATATTCTTATTACCAGTATATTCTGTATATTATATTATTATATGTATTTCGGGGGGGGGAGAGCACCAAAAAGGTATTTTGCCCTGGGCACCAGTTATGCTCGCTATGCCACTACGCATATTCACTTCGTAAACGTGATACCGTTTTGCTGAAATTTTTTTTTTTTTTTGTTTTTTTTGTTAATGATATTGTATTATTTATGATCAAATTAATATCATCATTACTTATATAATTTTTTTTTCGTAATAATTAATTAACCTCTTGAAATTTTTTGGCTGAAAAATAAAAATCCTTAAAAATGTTTATTCAGCTATTAAAGAATGAATAATAATAAAAAAGAATTATTTTTATATTTCATCTATCGTGTCTGATAGTGTTATATATCATATGTTTATTTTTAAAGGCAATTTTGTCGAACAGTCTTACGTTTGCTGCCAAATTTCGTAATTTACCTGGTATGTCAATTCTGTTACACATACATTGGTATAAATAATAATAATAATAATAATAATAATAATATTTTTTTTCTAAATTACCGCATTTTTTTCTTTTTAGCCCAAAGGAGCGTTAGGCCCAAAGGGCTATTAGTCTCAAAACGACATTTTGCGTCGTTTCACTTTCTGCTTTGCTTCACTTTTCAAACTGTTGCCACCAAATGTTATTGCCTTGTATTGTATTTAATAAAAATTAATTAATAAAGAATTTGAATGAATGCATGAATGTTTCTCGCGTTTTAAAAAAATTGTACGGTACCTAGAGCCATCAAATTTTAAATAACGTAGTCCTCCAACCGAACATGGGTACCTGCAAACCCGAATTTTGAATTTCGAATTTGTTTTATTATCTATTTCAAATTTTGTAAAACTTTGATCAATTTTTGATTAACAAAACGATTTCCAAGCGAGCATTGACAACATTGTACAGAGAAAAACATTTTTATCTTCAGTGCGCGAGACTGCGTATCGGAAATTCTAAATATATGCTGTTTTTAAACATTTTCTGATATTGCTGTTAAATTGAATTTTATGTGGTTTAAGTGCGAAGAACATGATATTTATGTAGTAAAGGTAACGCACAAAGCTTAGTGATATAAAATCTGAAAGCTTTCAGCTTTTCTTTTTAGTCCAAAGGGGCTTGGTCCCTAAAAGACTATTGTTTTCGTTTTGCGATTTCGCATCGATTTACTACAAACGGCGAATCACTTTTCAAACTGTTGCCACAAAGTGTTATCGCCCTGTGTTATATTTAAAGAAATTAAATAATTAAAAATCTGCATAAATGCATGTATATTTCTGGCATTGTGATAAAACAGCGGTACCTAAAGCCATCGAATTTTGAATGACGTAATCCTCCTACGAATATGGGCATGTGGAATACCAAATTTGAAATTTGTTTTATTATCGATTTCCTATTTTGTAAAGCATTAACGAATTTTTGATTAACAAACTCAAGGATTTCAAAGCGAGAAATGGCAAAGTTGTACAGAAAAAATTTTTTTATCTCCAGCGCGTGAGTCTCTGTATCGGAAATTCTAAAGATATGCTCATTTTAAAACTATTTTGCGATATTGCTGTTGAACTGAATTTTATGATTTAAGTGCGAAGAACGTGATATTTAATAAATAAATGTAACACACAAAATGTTTTTTTTTTTTTTTTTTTTTTTTTTTTTTTTTTAAAGTCCCTTTGGATGATAATTTAAAATCTGAAACATTTCAGATTTTCTTTTCTTTCTTTTTTTAAAGTACTCAACGTTTTCCTTCATTCTCTTATATGTCCCTATTTCTTTTAACAATTATACATTCGCATTTTTCTGTGACAAGACAGTGAAAGAAATATGTTTCTTCCTCTAACATGTGAACAGAGATACATCAGCAGGTACTTAAAGAATGAAGATTGTTAAGAATGTCATTTTGTCATGTCGGAAAGATAAAGCATGTGTTTTTTTTATCATTCCCTGAGCTGTTGTAATTCTAAAAGAAACTCTCATTATAATAGCAGCCAGCCAGCCAACCAAACTAGAAAGATATCTTGTTTTGCACTCGCTAAGTCTTTCTGCTTTTAGTGCAAAAAATCAAACTTTGGTACGAAAGAAAATATTAATAGAATTTTTACTTTTGCTTCTAACTAAATAAATCATTTAAAACCTCTTAATGTGAAAAAGAGGCAAAATGTTTTTTCCATGATCAATAATTTTGGCTTGCTGTATTCAGACCTGTATGGATGAGTGCGAGACAAAGAATTGTGCGAGAGATACTCCATGCACTAACCGTCAGCGGTTAGAAGCGCTTTAATTGTAAAAGCGCTTTAACTCTTTATCTGTCAATTTCATGTAAAGATTCCTAAATTTTAATAGCTGAATGGAAATAGAACAATCTGTTCAAAAAGTATCTAAGGAAATGTTAAATATACATCAACAAACTTCACAAACTATTCAAAAATCTACAGTTGCATATATTCATAGCCAAGAATTTGAGGTCCATTTAAATAAACATCCCAGGTTATGTGGAACGGTAAAGAAAGTTACAATTTTGTCTTATCTTTCACGTTTGGTTATTAATGCAAATTAGTCTTCCTATTAATTTTATTTTTATAAATAATGTTTTATACGGAAAAGAATTTTTTTATAAGTCCATACATTTGCATGATTTTAAAATCATATATTTTAAATGCGTAAATGTCAGTCAAAATGTATTATTCTGTTGATGTAATTCTAAGTATTTTTGTGTTTAGGTTACTGTCACGCACAATTTAATAAGTGCTTATGAACTGTTAAAACATGTAACTGTCATTGCTCCAAATTATGCTACTGTTGAAGAATTGAAATCATTTCATTCTGAAGAATATGTTGAATTTCTGAGAAAGATAAATGATTTGTCTGAAGGAAGAGTTATTGGATGAAGAGGAAGAAGAAATGGAAAAATATGGAATTGGTTTGTGTTATTTATAATAATTTAATATAATTAATTTTTGCTTTTTCATATTTTAAGAGACTATTTATCATGTGAATTTTGTTTTTACTGGAATGTTCACTTTCCTCTTATGTGCCATAAATAATATAGTTCTGTGTTCAAGAGTGATTAGTGCGTAAAACATTTACTGAATTTTATAAGGTCTTTGCTATATATAATAAGTGTTATCTAAATAAAAAATTATTCTCTTTCAGAAATTTATGTTGAATAAATTAAATGTATTTTTTCGTAACAAAGTATAAGTGGAAAATTATTATCTCCTTATTTGTATAACATTCTATGGAATATTATTAATTTGTAAAAAGTTTTCTTTTTCTGGGATGTTTTTAAATAATGGTAGTGTTTTGAAAACACATAAGTATCTGTATAATTCTAAGTATCATTAGTATCTGTATAATTAATTCTAAATCCAATCATTATTTGATAATTTTAACAATACTTACAATTTTTACCATATTTTGATTTGTAATCTAAATTAAACAATAACATGTTAAATGTTCAGTTCATCATCATCCAGAGTTTTCCTATGTTTAAGCTGGAGAATTCTAAAAATTCTTGTTCTGTTATGGTAAAAAAATATGATGACATGATCATATATAGTATGTGTAATATTCAATGTGTTATATTAATTTGATGTATTAATAATTGATGTATTACAGAAGGCTCTTATGCTAATTTATAAATTTTAGGACAAAGATATTACAAAGTTGAATATTATTGGAAAAGAATTCAATTTAATTTTATACATGTACATTTGTCCTAAAAAAGAAATTTGTATAATATGATTTGTGTAATATGGCTTAAATGTAGCATTTTGCATTTGAAATCTCATTTGCTTAAAGAAATAATGTTGTAATAAGATTTATTCACTTTTGTTAAGTACTTTTTGTAGGATATTTTAGTAGGATCTTGTAGCTTTAGTTTAATTCTACAAAGGATTTGTATATTTTTTAAATCTGAATTATTATGCTCATTGATTGTAAATCTTCAAAGCATTTTCATTATTATTTTTTGTAGTTAAGCTTTAAAAATTACAATGTTTTCCTCCAGTTCTTTTTCAGTGTTTGTAAGCGTTATATTCTTTTTAAATTTAAGTGAAGAAAAGTGTAATTTAATGTATGCAGTTTGGGGTTTAGGTGTTTGTAGAATGTGTTTATTTATTAATGTTTTAATAATGTTTATAGAAGATGACTGTAATTCTGTATAGCATTTTTTTTTTTGTGTTCCTTGCTTGTTTTCTTTCTTTCTTTTTTTTTTTTTTTTTTTTTCAAGGGGGATGATTTATAATGGAGGAAATGTTCAAAATAAGAACTATACCTTAATTTATAGGTTATGACTGTCCATTTATACCTCAGATATTTAATGCTGCCTCAATGATTGGTGGAGCTACTTTGACTGCCGCCAAAGCCTTGCTTAGTGGAGAATATCAGACTGCAGTAAACTGGGGAGGAGGCTGGCATCATGCAAAAAAGTATTTTCTTCCTTGTTTAATAATTATAAATAATAATTAAAAAAAGAAAAAACTTTCTTTGGAATTATTAACTGCTTTGCAAAAGGGTTAGTCCCTTATCAAACTTCTGTGTCTGTGTGCATAATGCATAAATGTATGTGTTCTTAAGTATTAAAACACAGTTTTTATTTCAGCTTTTTAGGTAAGACATAAATGTAGCATTTTTCTTCATAAGTAGTATGTGGTAATTATAATATGTGATAAAATATGCTGTAAGGATCACATGTAGGAAGTAAAAATTATATATTATTGAATTTTTAACTTTTATTCCTTTAGGTGCTTTTAGCATAAGTTTAATTAATGTGTAGTCAAAAGTCTAATTTTAATGTAAGTAGTCAATTATTAGTGTAAAATTGTTAGTTTTTTTTTTTTTTTTTTTTTTTTTTTAATTGTTGAGAAGTTACTTTTACATTGGCATTTATTTATGAGTTGTACCTTCATATGTATTTTTTTGAAGGATAAAGTACTTTTTTGAAGGATAATATGTATTTTTTGAAGGATAATTGACATTGTGAATTTTTAGCTTTCAGGAGTTTGTGGCCAATTTTCCATTATTTAATATAATTGCAGTAAATAATAATTTCATATGATAAGTTTATTTTTGTGTATAGGTTGAAATTCATAAATGATAGTTATAAGTTTTATTTTTAGTTTTTGGCTACTTTGAAATAAATAAAGTTATTTTCTAATGCATTTGTATTAAATTTTTAATTTATCATCCTGATTGAATAATGTCTGTATCCCACTCCCTTTTTAACTCTAAAGCTTTCTCATTTCCATGCTCTTTAGTTATTTCTTTTTTTTCTTTAGTTATTTCTTTTTAACTCTAAAGCTTTCTCATTTCCATGCTCTTTAGTCATTTACTTTAAATTCAATCTCTTTTCATATTTAATGTCAAAAGAGATTGAATTTCTGCTTTATTCCTCAGTTTTATCCTCTTATGATTATTGAAAAGACATCTCTTTAATGATATTAAAGAACTCTAAGGGGCCACAAGATCATGTTTTTTTACTACATAGAAGCAAATGTAGTTAATTTCAGGCTTTGCTAGTTTATGCCACTCAGATTATTAATGCAAAAAATATAAACCAAATAATATCTTTGTCTTTTGCTTTCTTTAAAAAAATTATGAACAAAGTCTCATTATTTGTTATATTTTTTAAGGCATTTTAACAGAAAAGTTTCATATATTGGAAATCATTCAAAAGCTGTTAATGAGAAAAAAGCAGTAAATACATTTATTATTTAATATATTTGATTTGTTCTGTTTTATATGATCAGTTAAGTTTATCTTGAAGGAAGAATAGTTCTTTGTAACATATTTTATTTGACTTATTTGGGAAAAAATTTATTATAGCAATTAGATGTATAAATGATTTTGAAGAGATTTTTTTTTCATTGATAAAGAGCTGTTAATAGTCATCTGCCTGATTTTACTTTTCCTCCCTTTTGAACTACTAATATAGCAGTTGGAAATCTATGAATTAGAATAATATATAGAGTGGTGGCCAAAATTGTGGACACTTTTGGAAATTTTTATGTTTTTGAACTTTGTATGCTTATAGAAAACGCTACGTTTCACAAAATACAAACTTGTATATATCATTTTAAAGAGAATTTATTACTAAATTCAATACAAAACACAAAATTCAATTATTTGCAATATAAAAAAGTTAAATGATAATAGTTATCGATACACATTAGATAGTGATGATTGCAGTGAGTTATCAGTACTTAGTAGGGTACCCTATATTTTTTATCACAGCTTCACATCGACGTTTCATTGAGCTGACAAGAGTTTTAAGCTCTTCTTTCTTTATTATATGATGCCAGGAAACAATTATAGCCTCAATTAGTTCCTTTTTATTTGATGGGCGCCTCATTCGGACAAGTTTTCAAACGGTGCCACAAATTTTCGATAGGATTGAGGTCAGGACTGTTTTCTGGCCATGACAACAATTTAATGCTCTTTGTACGAAACCACTCTTTTGATATTTTGGCCGTGTGGCAAGGAGCAGAATTCTGCTGAAAAATAAACGAAGCATTGTTGGGAAAGAGATCTCTGATGGAAAGTAGAAGTTTTGGTTCTAGAATAATGTCAATGTATTTTCTGGCATTCAGTGTCCCATCGATCACATGAAGGCGACCAATACCATCTGCTGACATGCATGACCAAATCATAACACTAACTGGGTTTTTCACAATTGCTTGAATGCAGTGAGGATGTAGCTCTTCTCCTATTCTACGTCTTACATATTTTCTCCCATCACTACCGAATAACGATATCTTAGTTTCATCACTCCATATAACTTGTGACCACTGATCATCTGTCTAATTAATGTGTTTCTTTGCCCACTGTAGTCTTTTTTTTTCCTTGCTGAAATTTAAGATAAAGCTTTTTTCGTGGAATTCTACCTCTCAGTCCAACATCTGTTAATCTTCTCCTGATTATTCTTGAACTGACAGAAACACCAGCATCATTCAGATCACTTCTGATGGCCGCTGATGACATTTTTCTATCTTGGAGATATAGTCTTTTTATTCTTCTGTCATCAATAGATGTGGTGCACCTTTTTCGGCCTTTGTTTTTTATTGAATTTGTCTCCTGATATCGTAAACAAAACTTTCGGACTCCAGATGTAGTCACTGAACCACCCACCTGTCTTGCAATTTCAGCATAGGAAAGACCACTTTCTCGTAACACAATAATATTACATCTCTTTCTAGGTGTCTAATCTACTCTTTTGTTTGATGTCATTGCTTCTTGACTAAATATTAAAAAATTTTTACAAAAATTCCTACTTGTAATTGCAGTGTATAAGAAACAGGTCCTCCTTCTACAGAACAAAGCAAAATAATGAATTGTTTCAAGTGTAAACATGATGTTAGTTTCTACAGGCAGTTACTAACATTTGATGGTTCTCAGAACAAGAACAGTGATTGGCCAGGAAAACTAGACATTACAAACCACTTCATAACTGTGTTTTTTATTTATATTAAAGTACATATAACTTTTCTTGTATTGAAAATAATTAAATTTTGTGTTTTATATTGAATTCAGTTATAAATTCTCTTTAAAATTATATTATACAAGTTTGCATTTTGCGAAACGTAACATTTTCTATAAGCATACAAAGTTTAAAAACATAAAAATTTTCAAAAGTGTCCACAATTTTGGCTACCACTGTATATACAGACACATCTACCTATATGTATTGAAAAGTCTTTATACTGTTCATTAAAGATTATATATCACTACCCATCCAGACCATGACTGAAAAGTGATCATAAAGTGATAAACAAAGCCAATGCACATGAAATAAAAATTATGTACTAAAGTGAATAAATTAACAGTTAATTTCCCAATGGGGCATGTATGTCTCTAAAACAATGCGTAGCTTGAAGAACATGGAAGGAATAACTTGATTACTTTCGTTTTCCTAGTATGTTCTGGTTTACTATGCCAAGTTTAGATATGCATGAATAAAAATAATTGATATAATATGAAATATATTGCTTTTATGGTATTACTTTTAATTTTACTATGGCCTCTGGAAACGGTGAAGTACAGTTTTAATTTATAACAGAGAAAATAAATATTTTAGATGTAAAATGGGCAGTGTGTATGTCAGAAGCAGTAGTTTTTCAGTATCATAGTGTGCCAGGCCTATGCAAAAATTGTATGGGGCTGTATGTATACTTTGAAAAGTCATTAAATGATGAGAGTTCTATCATAATTTGGTACTCTTTTTGTTATCAGGAATGGATTCAGAAAGGTATGTATGTATATATGTATGTATGTATGTGTGCATGCATGTATGTACATATGAATATGTGTTCATGCATGTATGCATGTATGTTTGTATGCACATATATGCGTTTATATACGTGCATACATACATACATTTCTGAATTTGGTTCCTATAACAGAAGTGTTCCCGTAATTTTTATATGATACTTACACAAGTTGTTTATGGCTTTTCAAATCTTGTGTCCTCTTGGCTTTGCAAAATACTTTCTTTACCTGTCAATGCATACTGCAAAGAAATATTTTTTTGACCTAATAGACAATTTAACAGCATATGCATTATACAATCTGTAAACTTCTGATTCCCATAAATACTGTTTTGAAAATCCAAACAAGTTCAGTGACACCAAAAATGAATTGTAGCTTTGATGTTTCAGTATCTCACATTTTAAAGTGCATAATGTATATGCTGTATGCTTATACCCACCTGAATGAATATAGACATTCTTATGAAATTACGGTATTTCTATCGAGGAAAGTTCTGGGCATTCTTATTCTACCATGAGATTAGTTAGTTCATTTGTGTATAATAATGCACCATGGATTTAGTATTAATTTAATTATTACAACAGTAAGGCTTTATTTGAAAGAATACCAATATGGAGCATTTGACATTCCAAGACATGGCCAGTGTGACTTTCCCATTGGAAGCCTTATGTCTTCAATTAGTTTTTCTCCAGGGATGATAGGGATAATATTCTCCAATGTTAAGGATAATATTCTCCATTTCTGACTCACCGGCACTCCACTTTTTCTGACTCGCTGGCACAATCAGGATTTTCCATTTATCATGGTAGGATGTTCCATTTGCTCCTGACAAATTATTTGCTATGCATGCTAGTTATTTTAGACAACTAGTTAGTCTCATATCCCATCTACTTTGTTTTCACTTATTGAATAGTGTCTTGAGTTACGAGCACTGAAGTCAATGACATATTTTTAAGGTAACATATGACAAATAATTAACACTCAAGAGACCTCTGCAAATATTATTTTAATGATTTCAAATTCCTTAATGAAACATGGTAACAGATGACTTATGGAACCATGAATTCAGCTTGGAGGAAAACATGGCAAGACTGGATTACAGGTGACTTGGGACACTTGGGATTTTTTTCTTTTTTGTTATCTAATATTGTGCCTCTAAATAGAACTATGGGCTAAGTAGTTAACAATGAAGATGCGAAAATGCTAGAATCCATAAAAATGAATTCAGTAAGAAAGAAATATAATAACTTCAGAACCAGTGACAATAAGTAACAGTAGTAGGAATGCCTTGAGAAAAAGAACAGGAAGAAGGAAAAAAAAAAAAAAAGTAGCCTAGTTTTCTGATTTGTGAAATGCAAAAATAAGGTAAGATGCAAGATTTTTATGTAATGATATCATCCCAATAGTAGGCAGCTACAGCTTGAGGATTTTCACTGACAATACTGTCTCACTTTAGAAACTTTTAAACATAAATCACATTGGGAAAATATTGAGTTAAATGAAACAGTTATTCTCAAGCAAAGTTGAGTTGTGCTTAGGCACAAAATAAAGATAAAAGTGGATGTTCCTAAAGATAGTTATCTTATTTTTCAATGGAAGAGAATTTTGCATCCCTACAGTTACATCCTGTTCATAATTTTTTACTTGTGCTGTCCACTCTTTGTAAAAGTACAGTAAAATTACATTAAATTTCTGTCTATTTTATTTATTTATTTATTTTTACTTCTGTTTTGTTTACTTATTTATTTCATATTTATTCATCTCCATTGGTTTTTGGGTTATAAATTTTTACACTAAGTGCTGTTGTAAAATTTAAATAAGCAGTCATCCGGTGACAAATGGGCTTCAGGAATAAATTAAATTTGTGAACTGAGATTTCACTGTATTAAATGTATTTCACTTATTTAATAAATATTATTATGACATATTGATGAATATTTTATTATTTTTCAGTGACAGCATTTGTTATATTTATGTAAAAGTGTATAATTATACATGCAATATATATTTTGCTTCTGTATTGACTCTTTCTGCCTATTTGTGTAACTTATGCTTCTATTTGCTATACTTAAATGTTGTTTCTTTTTTCTTTTTTTTTTTTTAATTAAAGCTAACAATTCAGTTACATTAATTAATTTATGAATGATATATTCTTTTATTTTTCATATACTTTTTATTTCCATTCTAATTCTTTTTTTCACTTGAATTTGTAGGGATCAGGCAGATGGTTTTTGCTATGTAAATGACATTGTCTTGGGAATTTTGCAGTTACTGCAGAAATTCAAACGGGTTCTTTATATAGACTTGGATCTTCATCATGGAGATGGTATTTAAATTTTGTTATAAACTCACATATTTTACTCATGAATATTGATCTGAATTACTGTATTATAATTTGAATGAATATGTCAATATTCTCAGTACTGTAAACCATATAACTTTACGGCTATGAAAATACTGTTGTTCTTGGTGAACTCTGCAAAAAGGCAATTTGGAGGAGAAAATGGAAAGAATTACTACATATATCTTGGAACTTACTACATATATCTTGGACATCTTGGAAAGATTTCCCTATAACTGTATAATTTTAAAGTTTTAAAAAATGAAAGTTATGTGCTCATTCTGTATGTCTGTAATAATGTCAAGTGTACATGCATAGCAGAGGCTACTGCAGGCTGCAACCTTTTGCTGAATGTCATGTGTAACTAATACCATTAGCAAAACAAAAGAAATGCAATGTAAAAAAATCATAAAATTTTGATATAAATGATTTTTTAAAATAACAAAATCTTATAGATATCATTTTTAAATAACAAATTCTTGTAGACAACTTAGGAAGGACTTATAGACACAGCTTAGGATATTAAATATATAATTATATTTTTGAATTTATGTTAAAAATCTTGAATTGTTGATAAGAATTTTTAAGTGAATGAAATAATTTTGAAAAATTAGTATACAATATGATAACAAAAGTGTGTTTGAGTATTACTGTAGAAAATATTAAATGGTTTGATATAGAACAGTGTAATAATGTATAAAAATATGAGTAATTCAAGAAATGGAATAGTTGCCATAAGTAGTATTTAATTGTTTAATAATTTTAAAATTTACGAATGATACCGTAATTTCCAGAAGAAAGGCCACATTAGTGTAAACGCCGCACTTGAGAAAAATGGTGGAAAAAAAATTAAAATTATGCAGAAACGCTGCACTAGATTAAATTGCGCGTGACATTGTCATGGCCCGTATAGATGCAAAATCTCAACCTAAGTCCTGATATATTACATACCAGTTAAGAAAAATGCAGGAAATGAAACCATAACTCAAAAAAAATTAAAGGTAAGAAATGTGGAAAATATATTTACCTTCGTGCATATACTTATATTTACCCACTAAAGAAGTCCATATTTGTAATACTCAGACTATATTATAAAAAATGTTGCAACAACGAAATATTAAATTTTGCGTGACAAAAGGAAATTTTAAATTTTACTTACAAAAGGAATTACAGCAAACTATGCGTCATATGAAGCTATCAAAATCTGATTCTTCACTTTCTGAATTAAAAAGATTTAGTAAATCCTGATCTAAGTCCAAGTCTTCCAGATCATCACATTCATCCTCTTGGTTTACAGTCTCTTTATCTAAGGATATAATTTCAGCTTCTTTGAACCCTGCTATGATTGACGATGTTTTTAACGATTCTCACGCACTTCCTACCCACTTTGCAACTTCTCTATAAGATACTCTACGCATTTTACCGCTTTTGGTATACGTATGCAATCCTTCACTCATCCAACACTCCTACCGCTTTCGGACTTCAGCTTTGAAGGATTTATTACCTGACAAATCTAACGGTTGTAAGATTTTTGTCAAACCACCAGGAATTATTGCTTTGGTCGTAAACAATTTTTGACATCTGGTTTTCACTGACTCAAGTAAATGAGCACACATTGAATCCATTATCAATAATCCTTTTGGTTGGAAAAAAAAAAAAAAAGATCCCATCTTACGACACTGCCAAACTTTTTGTAGCCACTCACGCATGATTGTTTCGCACATCCATCCATTCTCGTTTGCACAAATAAATTACGTCATTAGGAAAATCTCCCTTTGAAATAGTCTTTTCGTTTTAAAAAATGAATCATCGGCCTTTAGCTTGTTCACTGTTTGTGGCACAAGCTAACACACATGTAAATGATGTTCTTTCATGCCCCGTCATAAGCACCAATACAGTTTTTGCACCAGTTTCATCAACAGTTCTGTTTGCAGGAGAGTCGAAAGCTAACGGCGTTTTATCCATATTTATTATCTGTGACCAAAGAAAGTTTTTTTTTTTTTTTTTTTCCAATAATATCTGTCACATATTTTAGAAACGATGCCTTTTTATCCTGCCAGTCCATTGGTAATTGTTGCCCGACGTTCTAGTACGCACAGAAATATTTTTTCTTTTCATAAATCTGCTACACTTCCTTTGAAATCATTTATGTTAATTTGTTTTGCTCTAAATTTTGCTTGTAAGTGAATTTTTACAGTCGAAATTGCCATTCCCTTTCCTCATTGCTCCTTTATCCAGTTTGCAAGGTCGTCCTCTAGATTCGGCCACCTTACAGTACCACTTCTTTTGGCTCGTTTCTGTTGTGGCATATTTTTAAGTTCTTTTTCAGTTTTCCAACGTCAAATACATCTCTTGTCCACTTCAAACTCTCAAGCTGCTGCTCGATTTCCAATTTGTTCAGCACGTGAAATTATATTAAGCTTAAAACCAGCAGTATAGCTTCTGTACCGTTTAGGTGACATTTTCAAAAATTTTCCGCTCCTTTCTTACTTTATCCAACATGTACCCAAACTGATGGGATCTATATCTGGCAGAATGCCAAGAAACATCGATTCATGCCGAAGGGAAAATACATCAGAGTTCTTTATTGGGAGGCAGGTGGAGTCGTGAGGTAGGTGGAGTCCTGTCGGCCTTTGAAAAAAATTGCAGAAAAGGCAGGGGTGGGGAGAGGATGGGTCCTGGAAGATTCATCGACTGGTAGAGGAGAGAGGCTATTCAAACTGATGAGAATGTTGATTTGAAAGGGGGAAGAATGCTATTGTTCTGAGATCTTGTTTAGGGTGAATAAGGCATGTAGGTAGGATTTGTTCGCAAAAAGCAACTGAGTAGTCTTTTGTGTGGAAACAGCATCAGTCTATGCATAATGACATGGCCATCCAAACTATGTTACAATGACCATCATAGGAAATGTTTTATTTTTAGTGCATCTGAACACCGCATGGGTAGAAATGCCGCACCCGCTGAAAATTTAAGTTTTAAACATGTAAACACCGCGGCGTTTCTTCCAGAAATTACGGTATATATTTTTTTATATAATAGAGTGTGGTTAAAATTTTTTTAATGAAATGTTATACTGCAGTTCAAAAAGGCCAGATGCCTTTAAACAAGGAACGGAGGCCTTTAATAGTACCTGTGTGAGCAGCCCTTAACCACTGATGATATATGTCAGTCAGTTTTAAGTGGATTTGCCTAACAGATGGAAATGTTTGTATTAGAAAAAGCTTTGAGGTCTTCTAGTTTTGTGTAAAATAAGAAAAATTAGAAATGTAACAATAACAGTAAAAACTATAATTTTAATAATACTATTATAAAATTTATGATGTTAAAATATAAGTAATAATAATAATGAAAATTGATTGTTTTGAACCTTTTGAATTTTGTTGTGATTATTCAAAATAAGTAATTCATGTGCAAAATGTTTCTGTAGTAGTGATATTGTGTACAAAGCTTTGCTAAACCTTCCCTGAAAAAATCTGATGATGTGAACTCTAAAACACAAAGACTTTTGGACTGAATAAGTAATTCATGTATTGGATTCATGAATTGTAATAGGACTGTAAAATATTATCAAAGTTTATATTTTCCAATTATGTAAATAATTATTTTGGTCAAAATTTCAGGGTTTGTATTTTTCAAATTATTTCTTTTTATGTGCTAATACTTGAGCATTTTCTCTCTAAAAAAGCTTTTCTCTGACCAAGCCAATTTTCATCTTGAAAGGGGGGATATGTGAAATATAAAATATCTATCTTTCAAATAATAAATTAATAACAGCCTTTTAACTCATGCATTTGTTCTAAAAATAAAAGAGCAATATTTTTTCTAAGGCCCTGTGATTCTGAAAAAGATCCCTCATCTAATCTCTGTTGCTCACTTATCCATGAAATCTGAACATTAATCTGTCATGTGATCTGAAATGGTACAAAGCTGCTAGCTACATAGAGTTTATTTTTCCAATTTTGTCCATTGTTTAAAATGATGTAAGCTGGGGTTTGCATAACACACCCACAGTGATGATATGCATTATCAAGGAATAAAATTATGTGTGGGAATAAAGAATATCATTCAGTGTAAAACTTTAATTAAATTGTAAAATCAATTAATCTTTAAAAAATAATTAAATTTTAAAATCTGTAAAAAATAGTGTCAAAAAGGTGCCCAAAAAGTGGTTAAAAAGTTTTTAATAATTGTTTTGTAGATATGAGTAGAAAAATCCATAAAATTGAATTTTAGATTTTAAATATTGTTATTTAAATTACAGAAAATAATAAAAAAAAAAAAAAAAAAAAAAAAAAAAAAGGGAGGAGTAAAGGAACTATATTAGAAAATTGTAACATAGTCTTCACGTATGCATGATAACTTTGAAAACATATAAGGCCCTTGTTTAGTAAAAGAATAATTAGTAACTAACCTGTACAACTTAATTAGTACAGAATAGTAAACAAGGGCTATTTTTAAAGCTATTTTTTAAAGATTAATTAATTTTAAAATTTTATTAATCTTTAAATTAAATTATTCTTAAGTTTTGCACTGAATGATATTCTTTATTCCCATATTTGTTTTAAAAGAGTCAAGATTTACTTAAATTTCACTCAATTAATAAAGTAATCTTTTTCTTTGTCTTAAAAAAATATTGGTATATTTTAAAGTATCTTTTGTAGTTCCAAACTTTAGCCTTTAGAGCGATTACTTTCTCGCTAAGGTTTTTTTTAGTTTCACCAATGAAGCTAAAATAGCAGATCTGTACTTCACTACTCTAACAAATCTCCTAGTTTCAATAGGTGTCTAATGAGAGTGCTCGAAGTTTTTTTAATTACTTCTTGTGAGTTTTAATTAGGTCTTTTCAACTTATGTTTTATAAATTCACTTTATTATTTTTAATTCTTTGGATTATGTGTTGTATGTTTGGAGGTAAAAATTTTGATTTAAAAGTTTTTACTGAAGTGTTCTGTTATTTCACTTGCATTTTGAAGTAAAATGAAATTCTTTTTATTTGAGGTACAAGATTATAATTAGAATTTACTTTGTTTTTTCCTTGCTTTGGAAAGGGACAGAATTTTCAGGTGAAGTATTATAATTAAAATGCATTGAAATGGTTCACCGGCTAATTTTGGATACAGAAAAGCGAGGATTTTTGTGGAAGAGGTATATCAATGCTCCAACCCCTGAAGAAGTAGCATTGAAGTTGATTATATTCCTCTTCTGTTATGTTCATTTTTCTTTAAATTTCATTAATTCATTAATTTTTTGAAATGGGATTTTGCTTGTTTGAAAAGTTTTTGTTTTAACTGCTTTAAATTCTTTGCTGCATTTATAGGATTATTTGAAATTTATTAATTAGGAATTTCAATTTTTGGTCTTTGTGAAATATTAGTTCTAAATTTCTTTGTCTTTAATGATAAATTTTTCAGCAGCTTGATGCACAAAAATACTAGACATTTTTATATTTTGTTAAAAAAATTGTTTTATAATTATATATGTGTAAAATATAAAAAATACGATGTCTTTGCTTTCTTTGCGAACAGGCAACCTCTAATTAACTTTCCGCAATTTCAGTATCTTCTCCCTAGACCAGTACTTTTGAGAACATTCTGGCATGTTATGTAATCACTGCTATAAATGCAGAGTTCGCACCATTTTTAGGCAGACTGCTTTTTTCCTCCTGCCGCTATCAGACCTTTGCTGCCACTCTTCCTGTCTGTCCTCCTTTGTTTGAATAATATGACACAGTAAATTTAAAGTTAATCCTGTTTAGTTTAAATTACTATCGCACATATAATCTTGGAGAATCTAAAAGAATAATGATTTGTCATTTGCATTGAATAAAGATGTGAAATTAAAACAGCTAATTTCTTCTGTGTCATGATTCTGCTGTAAGCCACTCAGTCACAACAATGTTTGGATTTTGATGCTAAGCTTCATTCATCCTGCCGACTTTCTGTGATATTTTGGCAGTCGGGCACATGAAGAAATTAGCTGTTTTGATTCCACATCTTTATTCAATGCAAATAGCAAATTATTCTTATAGATTCTTCAAGATTACATATGCGATAGTAATTTAAACTAATTAGGATTAACTTTAAATTTACTGCTTCATACTGTTCAAACAAAGGAAGACAAACAGGAAGAACGGCAGCAAAGGTCTGATAGCTGCAGGAGGAGAAAAGGATTCTGTATAAAAACTGGCACAAACTCTGCATTTGTAGTAGCAATTACATAAAATGCCAGAATGTTCTCAAAAGTACTGGTCTAGGGGAAAGATCCTGAAATTGCAGAAAGTTAATTAGAGGTTGCCTGTTCGTGTAGAGCAAAGCCATTGTATTATATATATATAGTATATATAGACATATATGAAAGCCCATATATATATAATTTATTTACTAAAGAAATATTTATATTATCTCCTAATATAAATTTTGTAGAAGGATCAAAAAAGAGGGAACCCATATATAGTAAGTTTAATTCCGAAGATTGTATTTTAAAGTAACTTGAATGTAAATTGTGAAAAAAACGTTGTATATAGGCTTAAAAATATCTATCTATCTATATATACTATATATAGGCTTTTTTAATTGATATATATGTATATGTGTGTGTAATAATTTAGAAGCCATTAACCAGTGGTGTAGCTAGGGTGGGGCAAGGGGGGCATCTGTTCCCAGGCGCAGCATCCAAGGGGTGCCAAACTGATGTTGGGAAATTTTAGACTGAAATGTTTTCCATCCTTAGCACACAGAAAAGGGTGCAAAATCTTCAGTTGTCACCGGGTGCTTAAAATCCTCTCTGCCATTAACACAGCAGATGATTAGTGACAGCTTGACGCATAGAGATGGTGCAGTAGTGCTAGTTTAATACTTTTTATTCTTAAGAAGCCATTTTTAACTTGAATTACACAGCACAACTGATGCGATCTGTGTGCCCATGTATGATCACATTTGTGCCTTGAGAGAAAGAATGTGATGTGTCTAAGATGAAAATGTGATACAGAATGATTTGGTTTGGTTAGAAATTGGTTAATTCTAAGTTTTGATTTGCAAATTTGAAATTATTATTGGTTACATAAGTGCTTAAGTCATTAGCATGATGTAAGTATAGTGTAAGAAAGATTAAATTTGAAATGACACAGTTTAGAGAAATTTATTGTAAGCAATTTAAAGATTTTATTGTAAGCAATCAATTATTTATTTATTAGAAATTTATTGTAAGCAATCAATTATTAAGATGGAAAGACAAAATAACCCAATTAAAATGAAGAGCTAGGGAACTATAGTAAATTAAAGTTATAAATTTTATTTACTTATTTTTTGCCTTACATGCATAGTATATATGCAAATTTTAATGTTTGAATGGCTTGTAAGAATTTTATCAAATTATCCAGCAATCTCTGTCCTGCAATCAAGTCACAGAAGTGCAGTTCGGTAAATAGTTTTATATGCTGTTGAATTTAGTTTTCTTCAGAAATAAAACCCATGCTGCAGTTGAAAATATGAGTTGATGTTAATGATTATCCTGATTGTTTAAAGATTGTCATATATGCTGAGATGTATTTGAAATTTTCTGTTGACGACATCATTCGGGTACTGACCAAATGTAACAATAGTAGTGTTTTCAGCTATAGTAATCTCATCTGCTATTAATCACACATGAGGTTTAGTGTCTGTACTTCTTAACAAAAATGCAACTCGTATCATATTTCATTTATCATAAATAAGAGTAACATTAAGATTAAAATGATAAATATCATCACTACATATTGTTATTTTGAATTGTCAGCATCAATTACATTTAAATAAAGTTGAATGAAACAATAAATTACGAATTTTGTATTTAATTAGATATTTAGTATAATTATAATTGTTTTATTTCCCTGCGCAATGCAGTACATGACGAGTTTTAAGAGAAAGCTACGGCAAAAAAGTAAAAATACAGGCGAACGCGCATTTAACATTGAATAAAAGTTTTTCATGGTAATTCATATTTAGTTTGAATAAATGTATTGACTGCTATGTTAGCTGTAATTATAATTCTACTCCTTTGCTTTCCAGAAATCTCGAGAAGTAGAAATCACTAATCTCGTGACCAATTTAAAAGCTATAAAAAGCCAAACAGAGAACATTTTATCTCAGTAGTTATTTCCTTAGTTGTTGCTATTATTTGTTGATCAGATTAGCTTTTCCCTGGCTTGTAGGATTTAATAAATACATATTTGTCGTCTATTAAGATTTTTGATTTTGATGGTGTAATTATTTTAAATGAAATTCATGGTAATATTCTTAGAAGTAAATTTTAAAAAAAAATGTGTAGTGATCTACATCAGTTTCATAAACATTTTTTTTTTCATTTATTTTCAGGTGTAGAAGAAGCATTTGCTCATACATCTCGTGTTCTGTGTTTTTCAGTTCACAAACATGAAGTTGGCTTTTATCCAGGTTTGTTATTTTTTAATGTATATATAGAGAGAGTGATGGATAGGCTGTGTGTAGTGAATACGAGCTAGTTTTTCATTAAAAGTACTCCATGGAGGTGTCCCTTCCCTTAGGCAGCTGGCCATTTAGTGCTTTACCATATTCAAAATAACCTAACCGGGTTTTCTATGCAAAAATTCAAAATAACCTAACCGGGTTTTCTATGCAAAAATTCAAAATAACCTAAACGGGTTTTCTAGTTCTTCAGATATTTCATGCCATTTGCTCAAGCAGCATATTATCAGTGCTTGTTATGACTCTATTTTAGGCCCCATAAGTTTATATTTCTTGCATCAAGACATGTTGCAGATAAAAATTTAACCGAACAAAATTCCTGTGGTCAGATTATATGTGGCCCATTAGTTGTACTAATTGCTATGGCCTAGCTTACATAAAGTATTCATGGTAAATTTTGATAAACTTGAATACATCTGCTAAATACGATGTTGTTTTACAAAGACTGATATCAGCTGCACACAGATCTGAGCTTCTTTAGGAATACTAGGAACACAGGCCTTGAACAGATGCTCTTCATCTTCCAAGTTAATGTTTTCATGCTAATATTTAGCAAACTACTTATAAACCATTATGTATGCTACATCTTTATTTATATTAACATTACATTTTCTTCATGTATCTTATGCTATGTTTTTAGTCCTTCATGTTGGAAGCAAATAGCTGATAATGAGCATAACATGTTATAAGTGGGAGGGACTTTATGCATTGTTCTGTAACTTTACAGTTAACTTCCTGTTTTTTTCTTTGACTTCTAACACTAACTAATACAAGAACTTTTTATCCATCCTTTAATATAGTTACTTTATTTACAAGAGATAAGAATATAGTGATAAAATGTTATGAATAAAGTACAAACTTCTTGAACAATACAGTAAAATTGTATTTAAAGATATATATACTATTATTATTCTACAGCATGTGTTATTTGTAATTTTAGGTACAGGTCTTCTTAAAGATATTGGTTATGGGAAAGGGAAATACTATACTATTAATGTTCCTTTGTTTGATGGTATTCAAGATTCACAGTACCTAGAACTAATTATTCCGTAAGTTATTACTTTTTACTATGCTTTTCTTTCTTTCTCCCCTCCTAATTCTTTTTTTCTGTTTTGCCTTTCTTGAATTTATTCATATTATGAGGAAATATTTATATAACATCTCATTAATTTTAAAATCTATTTTGACTTCAAAATATTGAATAACTTGGGAAGTCCTTCAATAAGAAATTGTTATAAAATTATCAGAAACTTAATAGTTATTAAAATAGGGATGCATTTTTAATAGCAATAATTTAGCAAATGACTTTTTTTTTAATCAAAAGCATTTTTATTGCTTGAATATGAATCTCTTATGTTTTTTCCATTCAAAAATAAGGTAGCTCGTGAAACCTTTATATCAATAAGGATTTTATAAAACATAAATATAATATGTGATGATATGTTTTGCGAAATCTCAGATTTTAGCAGTTTTAAGCTTGCATCAGATCACATTTTGGACGTAAAACAACAGTTGTACAACCATATTAAGAAAGTTCATTTCTGTTCACATAATCACAGTTGCTTAATTTTTATTTAAATTATTGAATGTCTGATACTACACAGTGTGAAAATTCATATAATCATATTGTAATATATTATGTTCTAAGCATCCTGTGATATATTACTTTTGCTTAAAAAATCTGCATTTTTCTTCACAATTCTCAGAATTTCTTTCTTGTATGAGGTATTGAAAAAGATGACTTCAGGCTTACTTTCAAATGATTAATCCTGAATGTGCACTTCCAATTACAGTATTTCATAAAATAAGTTTTGTAAGTAAAAAATATATTTAAACCAGTCCAAAAAGGAAAAGCTTCTTACATTTACAAACAAAATTAATGAAGATATTCAATAAAAAATATACTGACATACATAATTTTTCATTGTCTGTTACTAACTAAAATTCAGATTTTTATATCAAATTTAGGAAGTAGCTGCAAAACAAAAATTGTTGATTGGTTGTAATGATAAATTGTTCCAATTTTAATGAAATAGCATTTGTTACTAAATTTATATCTAGCCCCCTGAAAATATTAATTGTATCTCTGCAAATGTGCAGAACATTTTAATTTGTTAAGGTGTAGCATTTAAGTATTAGAATTTTTACCATATACTGTATAAAAAAAACTGGACATCACAAAATTTTCCCACCTCCAGTATTTAAAAATCAAGCTTCCTAGAGAGGAATCCAGGTTTTAATGTGTAAAATATCACTTGATAGGAATGTTGGTACTTTATAAGTGTCAACACACCCTTCCTGAAAAGTCATCAATCGTTGATGACTGTCTTTGATGGCCAAGCTGTGCAAATGACACAAATTTATATATTTTATTATTATATATTTTAAAAAATGCTGGCAAAATAGTAACCAGTTAACAAAATTAAAATTGCAAGAAATGTCCATAACATTTTTTTTTTCATGCTTCTCATGTACATAGCTGTATATTTAGCTTAGAAACACATCAGAGAACTGCAGAAATTTAGCATTATGTATACTTGGTATTGCACATTCTGTCTATCGTTCTTCTCATGTATACAGAGATCTGTTTTTGTTATAAAAAAATATCAGAGAATTCCACAAGCTTGGCACTGATATACAAATTTTGAACAATAAAATTCGATCATTTACAAACTACAGCTTCATGGAATGCAAATTTTTACATTCTCTATTGTCTACACCAAGTTGGACAAAATGCCATATTTCTGAAGAAATGCAATGCTTTCTTTTTCATCAGTTGGCAAACTCCACTGTTCCATTACAGTGCCTTGCAAGAAAAAAAAAGTACTCAAATGCAACAAAAACAATACTAATCAGAAGAATGACTATCAAATTTCACTTTAAAATCAGCTCTTTTCTGTTGTGTACCCTGGGTCAAAGAATGTATAATGTTAAAAAGGAAAACTTCTTCACAACAGGAGTGGCTTCATCCCAGCATAGAGATAAACAGCTGCACATGTGTGAAATATCTGTCGTCAAAGCTCAAAGCTGGCGTCGGAGTTCGAAGGTCACATTTATCAAGAGTTCATGAAACGAATATTGCTTTAAATTTCTTTAAAGGAAAAGAAAATATTTTTTCATGCAAGTAAATTAATTAATGGATTGGTTATTTAGAGAAAAAAAAAAAGTACGAAAATCTGAGTTTAAATTATTGTGAAAAGTCAATGGAGAAATGTTTGGCCAAAGAAGTTTTCTTCTTTACATGTGTTCCTCAATTTCTTGTGCACATCGCGGAGGGGGAAATTTTCGACGCCAAGTTTCTGTCATCAAATCCCTTGCCTAATTTCCCCCTCCACTTTCTAGTGACAAAATAGCAAACTAGTTTACATTATATCTAAAGAACCTTTCCTTCTTTACATAGACATTCTTTGCCTGGGTTGCCACATAAATATGTTTTGGGGATTTCATAGGCTGCATGTTTTGTTGACATAATGCATTACCTTGTGAATACTTTCATATTTCCAGTATATAATTAATTTTATATTATTATTGATTCTGCAATGGGGTTTATGTCACAAAGTGCTCATTTTAAAATTGAAAATTATTCAAAAAGAAAATAGTGATACGTGACTTGACATAAAAGTTGAGTGAGTACAACTTTGTATATGTATCTCTTGGGGAAAATACATTCATCTGGTTTTAAGAACTGTAGATATATGTGGTTTCAAGGTTTATATATATATAATGTTATAAAGGAGATATGTATGTAAAATAGAGTTATATATCATAAACATTTATTTATCATAAACTTTTATTATGTATCATAAACTTTTATTTATTTATTTTTGTGTGTGTACGATGGTACACTTTTCTTGTTAATTCGTAATAAAATGTATATCCATTTTTACTATATTCAGTTTGCATGTCATGTATATTTTCTCTAATTAGGTTATTATCTAAAACCTGCAAAAAATTCCAACCAGATGTAGTAGTCTGTCAGTGTGGAGCAGATGTTCTTGCTGGTGATCCATTTGCTGCTTTTAATTTAACACTTAAAGCACCTGGAGAATGTCTGAAACTTTTAAAATCATGGAATCTGCCACTGTTAGCTCTTGGTGGAGGTATTGTAGTGACGTAACTTTGAATGCAAAATATCTTTAATCATACTTGTTTTTTAATCATCATATTTATTGTTTATAAAGCGATCATTTTGTGAAAGAGAAATTGACTTGTTGAGAGATTTTTATGTTTTAGAAATCCGTCACCAAGAAGTCAAAGAAATATATTTGACTTACTGTCCATTTGTATAATAGCTATCATCCGAGCAGAGATGTTTTGTAAACATTGTGTGGAGTTATGAATTTTCCGCAATATTTTAAGTAGAGCATTTTTTTGGCTTTATTGTTTGATATTAAACACCATCAAACTGGGTTAATTGCTGTATACCAGGAAAATTAGCATTTCATTAATTGAAATGGCATAGTACAAAAAGCCAGTTATTATTAATCAAGGTTGCCACGCTACCTGGAAAACCGGAAAAGTCAGGGAATTCAGAAATTGACCAAAAAATTCAGGGAAAAGTCCGGGAATTTAAGTGTTTTAGTGAAAATCTGGAAAAGTCAGGGAATTTCATACAACGATCCCGCCAAAAAAGGCGAGTTTTGCACCCGTCGGAAGAGATCACTTTTTTGGCGAATTGTGTATCACGTGAGTGTCATTTGGGCAGCTGGCATAGAGCCAATTTTTGCAGCTCCAATTTGATTGTCTTTTTAGAAAGGCAAGCAAGTTTCCCGCAACTTTTGGTTTCCAGTAATCTCGAGAATTGCATGTGCAGTGCATGAACTAAAGAAAGTACCTGTTCTCGTATAAAACAAAATGGGTTTAATCCTAGTATATGGTACCATGAAGGTTAGAATTAAAAAAATATGTATTATAAAGAAGGAAAACCTCTCTGCAACAGACGTGGCTTGGTTCCATCATAGCGGGAAACAGCTGTGCATGCGCGATATATGTATCTGTCGCCAAAGCTCGAAACCAGTGTTGAAGTTCAAAGGTCACGTTATCAAGAGTTCATAAAATGAATAGCGTTTAAAATGTCTTTAAACTCTAAAGGAAAAGAAAATATTTTTAGGCGCAAGTAGATTAATTCATGGATTAGTTATTTTGAGGGGGGGGAATCTACGAAAATCCGTTTTTAAAATTATTGCGAAAAATCCAAGAAAAAACGTTCTTTGATAAAACGTTTCTTCTTGGATTTTTCGCAATAATTTAAAAACGGATTTTCGTAGTTTTCTTTTTTGTCAAAGAACGTTTCTTCTTAACACGTGTTTCTCAATTTCCTGTACACATCACGGAGAGGGAAATTCTGGCCGTTCCATCGTCAAATCCCTTGGCAAATTTTCTCTCCCCTTTTTACATAGACGTTCTTTGGTAAAAATAATCTTCATGTATGGTACAGTGGGATTTGGCGACATGATGATGAGCAGTAAACGGGTCATTTTGTTCTTGGCGACAATTTTCAAAATCATGTGAAGGCCGTATCGTATACTAGGATTTTACCGCAAAATCTTTTTTTTTTTTTTCCTTTTCTTTTCCTTTTAATAAATACCTTGTAATTTTGCAGTAAAATAAAAAAATAGTAATCAATCATCTAGGATAACCATGTAATATAACTATATTCGCTAAAATATCGTTGATTATTCTAATTAAATTTTTAAGTAATTATCTTTACTTTTATGTTATTCATATCATTTAATGTTGCTTCTTCCCTCTAAATTTATTTATCATGAGTAAATAATATTTCAAAATTTCAGGAAATTTTCTCTGGCATAATCCTGAAATTAATTCTAGCAGTATGATGACATCACAAAATTTAATGCACATATTCTTCCCTTATGTATGCTGCGAAATAAATATAAAATACCTCAATTTAGTAAAAAAATATCATTAAATAGATTTCTTTCTTTCGTTTAGCTGCAGAATATCTGCAAAAAAAAAAGCCTTATTTTATTCCAGATTGGGCAGATTCTAATCTCAATCTTCAGTGGAGAAAACAACTCCTATTATAATTATATTTGTGTTTTCAAGTGTTAAGGTGCCTTTTAAGGATACACCTCACACAAATTAAATTTACCTAAAATCTAACCTAACTTTTAGCATTGCGTTGTGATTTATAAGAACCGGATTAGCCTCGTGTTGAATTGGGGATGATCATGAGTAATAATTAAATAAAACGTACAGTTGTTATCCAATGTATATATCTTAAATTTTATTAAGTTTTTTAAGCGGAAAAGTAAACAAAATTATCAAACAAAGTGTACCAAGAATAATTAAGAATAGATGTCCTCTGGGATTTATTGAATAATTAAGTGAATTTGCTAAACAGTACAAGTAATACTATAATTAATTTACCTCTTAGCACAGCCAACGTACAATACGCGGATAGACTGGAATTTTCTCGAAACATACCTGGAAAACCTGGAAAAGTCGGGGAATTTCATTCTCCTGTTTGAGTGGCAACCCTGTATTAATTTGTTTCTTGGTGAACATCAATTAATTGCTAACTTTGATGGTGTTTGATATAGCAAAACCAATTAATAAGAATTTTGGAAAAAAAATTTTTTTTTCCTTCTCATTTTTAAGAAATAATTTTTCCAGATTCAAAATGATGATAATTTTCAATTTACCATCAAGTGAAAATGAAGTTATTTCTTTCGTCTTTTACCCTTCTCCCAAATTTGTGAAAATGGGCATCAAATGAAGTTATAAAACACTGTGGAAGTATGGAGATGCAATGTTAAAAATTGTGAAGAGGGGCTTATGCTTTGGCAATCACTTTACTGCTTCAAAAATTACATTCTTGCTAGTGACAGGTACTATTGCCAATGTATGGCCATCTGAAAAATAAATTACAACTTCTTTTAAAGTAGGAATTTACATTTTTGAAAATAAATAAAAGCAAGTTCTCTCTCTGTTATTTTTTTATATTTTTTTTTCCCTCTTTCTCTTTTTTCTGTTTTTGTTTGTATGGCAGTTGGTTGCTTGTAAAACTGACAAGTATTGGAAAATGTTGTGAGTTTTCCCAGGTTTAAAAATAATATTTCATAATACTCAGAATCTATGATGATGCTAAAAAAGCAAGGGTGTTGTAATAAATACACAGTTCATGTAAATAAAAATTAATATATGGAGTGTTTGTGAGTACAGTCAAATACCGAAATTATGCCGACCTGAAATCCGCGCTGCCTCTTAAAATATAAACATTCAGTTTATAGGTTCCGGAATCCGCAACATTGAGTATGAAATATCGAAGAAAGAATACTTACCGAATAATGATGTCATAGTTGCCGAATAATAATGTGTCATAACGCAAATACCAAATTATTGACATCATGATAAAAGTTTTTTCCCATCTAATCTGCATCGAGGTTAAAAAACAGACAATTCACTCAACTCTTCTTTCAAGTTCACGATTCACTTTGTGAGCTTTGTTATTTCATGAGATTACTTAGTGCTGCCATTTTTTTTATCTGGATATTTTGTGGATAAATTAACAGTATTTTAAATTTCAGCCCTTTTTAATACAATGAGAGATAAGAAATGCACTCATGATTTTACTGCTTGCAACGTTGAAAAACTTAAACACGTTGCATTGATGGTAATGCAAAAAGGGGAAATTCTGCAAAAGATGGAGGCAGGTTCCACTCCTCGGTTTATAGCAGAATCATATGGAATTGCGACACCATTGTGTACGATATATGGAAAAATAAAGAAAAGCTGTTGAAATTTTACAGCAACAGTGATTCTAACACTGGAATCTGAAACCGAAAATCTTTGCATGAGACGAAATTGACAAACCTGGATGCTGAATATAATACAATGAATAATATAATCAATTTATATATGTAATAATAATTTAACACATATAATAAATTATTGCAATAATGTATTAATAATTTAATTAAATGTATCTAATACATCTTATTTATTTTGCACTTTGAGTCTGAATATTATAATTTACCTTTTCTGTCTGGAAATCCTAAAATACAAATAATCTCTGGTCCCAACCTTTGTGGATTTCTGGACTTCTACTGTATCTGAAAGATGGTTAGTTTATTGAAATGTTTTGAAGTGTTGGCAATGATGGTTGTGAACTAGCTCAGTTGTCTATGATTTGATAATAGGAATTACAGGTATTAGAGTATAAGAAAGAGAAAGGTAAGGTGGTTATCTTTATTTGTACATATAGGATAAGTCAAAATGAATGCTCCAATTTCATAAGTGTGCTATGCAAAATGTAATAATTTCTGCGAAGGCAAAATGGGCAGAAAAACAATGTCTTTGTAAAATGGTGATGCAACAGCAAAAAGCATTTTGTGTGCTTGATTTTCATGTTAGCAAGTCTCTTGTCACCTGTGCAGTGCCAGTTCCAAACAAAATACAGGCAGACAGCACCGTATAATAAGGCAATCCGTTGTTGGTGTGTAAAATTTCAAAAGAATTTGAATTTGAATTTGTAAAGGAAAGTCAACAGGTCGTCCTTCAGTAGGAGAACACATAGTGGAGTGTATTGAAGCTAGGTATGTGAGAAGCCCTCAAAAATCAACATATCAAGCTGGATAAAAACTGGGAGTAGCCCAGAAAACTGTGCAGAGGGCTCTTAGGAGGCATTTGCAAATGAAAACTGTATCGTTTGCAGTTGATGCAGCATCTGAAACCCGAAGATCTGCCACATTGATTATCTTTTTATTAGACACTTCTGATGCACATGGAGAAAACAAATTTTTTAAAAAGTTAGTATTTAGAAATGAATCAACTTTTCACATTTCTGGATTAGTAAATAAGCATAACTTCAAAATTTGGGGTACTGAACATCCACATGCACCAGTGGAATACCAGTGTGATTCCTCTTATGTTAATGTGTTTTGTGCATGAAACTATCTATGGTCCCCACTTTTTTTCCTGAAACCACTGTGACAGGAGGAGTGTACCTCGCATGCCCAAATTATGGCTTCTGCCACAGCAATAAGAGGATATGTCTAGCTTTATTCTGCAGCAGTATGGTGCACCACCACATTTTATGACTGAAGTGCAGAGCCACCTCAATAACATGATAGCAGAA